ACCAATTGGTTACCCTGCTTAAAATACCCCATAGAGACCTATACAAAATAATCTATCGGGCGCTACCGGATTCTATATGTGCATTTGTCCATGGGTTTTTCCGGATACAGCCCGATAGAAAATGTATAGGAAATTACCTATAGGCACACCATAACTTTTACATTTTCCCTATTGAGACCGATAGAAAATAACTCAATGAAGGATATATAGGGATATCCCTATAGAGCAACCATAAAACATTTGACAAAATTTTATTAAAACCTATAGGGTCCTATAGGGAAAAAACTAATTTCTACATTTATGTGTATTTTCCCCATTGAAACCGATAGCAAATAAATCAATGGTGGATATCCCTATAGAACAACCATAAATCTCAACTACGGGTCCTATACAAACCGATACACCCTATAGAAACACCATACATCCCGATACAAATATCTATCGGTTTGAACAGGGTCTCTATGGGGTATTTTAAGCAGGAACGGATAATTTGCCACCCATGCGGACACTGTTGCCAAGTTTACCCTGACAGTGTCGGGAGTAGTGTTGCCAGATCTAATATGGCAAAATTTAAGGTAGATTTGAATTAAAGAATATAGGTAATTTAATATAAGAAAAACGTATAAAATATAAATAAATTTAGAAATGCTAATATGGTAATAAATGCGAATTTGTTTTTTTTCTGAATTTGATTTGAAGGGCTTGTTAATAATTTTAAATACCTATTTATAATAATGACCACAAAAAAATGTACTTTTTTTCAAACATTTTATTATAAAAAACATACAAAATTAAGGGTATTACAAAATATTAATTAGTTATAAATATGGTCATTCTGTTTATCAAAGGAAATGTATAGTTCACCTGATAAAGTTTGTTGAATATTTTTAGCTTCTCCATAATTGGGTTTTGTCAAGGTTTTATTTTTTGCAGTTTTCTTTTTTGTGCTACAAAATGTTTCTTGTTTTGTTATTTTTTTATTTGGTGGTTCAACCACTTGATCTTTACAATTACCATTAAAAGTCTCATTTTTTTTTATTTTATCATTGCTTAAAAGGTTGAAGCAGTTTTGCATTGTTTTTTTAATATGCACCAAAACATCTTCATTTATATATTTATAATCAAAGTTAGTTAACTGCACCCCTAAAGCCTTAATTTCATCAGTTATCAATGAGTTTGATTTAGTCTCCTGATTACCAACAGTTTCCATGTGTACAAAAATTTCTTGCTCACTGTCTTTATCAACTATTTGGCTTAGATTAACGTTATCACAATTTCTGTTCTCATTTAACACTACATAGTGAATGTGTTTGCAAATTGTATACCTAATGCAATAATCAACACAGGTGCACTGATATGTGTGAACACAAATATTGCAAATTTTACAAATTAAGTTACAACAAGAAGTAGCAGGGTCAATTTTTCTTGCAATAGTGTACACTTTTTTATTAGTTTTATCATTGACTCTCCACAACTCATTGGACATCACTTCAATTGCAAAACTAGAACTTATGGATTTTTTATGTCTTTTGTCAATTTCACTGATATGATTTGAATTTTGCCCCTTTGTGTTTTTAATAATCCTTTCTATAATTTTATTTCTAATATAAGAAATTATGGCAAAGATTCCTTTATCCAATCGTTTAATTTTTTTAGCTTCTAAATAATAATATTTTATTGTTTTATGCATGGATTCAACATGCATATTAGTATTGATACCGGCGTTTTTCCTGAAGGAATATGCCCATTTCTTGTAGTTATTTAAATAATTTTCTTGAAAATATTTTCCAAATTTAGCAGTTTCTTCATCGCCATGAAGAAATGTAATAGTTCGATTTAAATCACAAATAAATTTGCTCTCATCCAATGTGTACTGTAAATACTTTAGAGTTTTATATACATTTTTTTTCTTTTCCTGATTGTTAATTTTGCTGAGGTTGCTTTTCCAAGCCCGATCAATGTGCCAACTACAATATAATTTATGTTTTGGAGAACCCATGACTTTCTCCCAAGCATTAATATATGTGGCTGTGATATCAGTCATGAACGATTTAGGTGATAATAAGCCTACGCGACTTTTAATAGCATCAAAAAATATTTCATTTATGCTAGTGTCAATACGATTACTAAACATAGATGCACAAGGGAAACCCTCACCATAATCATCAATTATCATTACTGTAGTGAGCTGAAAGTCGTATTTGTTTAGGCCATGTGTACTGTCGACACAAATTATTTTACTTCCAAATAATTTCAGCATGTGTTCTTGTGAACTGTTCATAAATATTAAACAAATATCATTCACATCCAGGATTGGGTGCTCCTCTCCTTGCTTTTTATAATACAGAAAATTGTGTTTTTTGTATTCAGCAGCCCATAAATTGACACTAACTGCATCATTTTCATGCAGGACCTATAAAAAATTCATTGTTAAAATGATATAAAATAAGAGTAGTAGACAGATTACCCCATTTACGATATCAATATGAAACCGATTTTTTACATTATGAATATCTCTTCTTGTTATAAGATCTTTTCGGATTAAAACCTTGGCATCTAGACTTTGACGATTATCTTCTAACACCCTGAAAATATTATGTTTGTAAGTATAACAATTAAAATATTCTACAAAAGGTAAGTGGTATAGACCAATTATTTAATTTTACCTTTTTATAGTAACACCACTTATTAATTTGGCAGCTATAGCTGCATGATCATCCCTCGTAATCCGAATATGCTGAACTTCTTTTTTATGAGTATAATGAGTTTTATAATATGTTATTGATATTGTACCCAAGTTTATATTTTGAATTGCTATTATGGCGCTAGTACAAGATCCATTTATTTTGCATGAACCTTGAGATTTCAATTTTCTCTTCCTATTCTGTGGTAACACGGATGGCATATAATTTCCTAAAAAAATTATGTTTTACATATACCTAACTAGTAGTATGTCAACAAAATTACCTGCACGATTACAATAATAATATAAAGTCTTATAATTTTTTCTATGGTGTTTTGAATGAGAATAAACATATTGTACACAGTCTTTATTTAAATCTGTCAGCCAACATGTAAATTCTGTAAAAAAAAACAATTTTGATTTTTATTCTTAACTTAATTTATTATTGCACATTACCATCAAAAGTAGAAAATTCTCTAATTTCTTGCTGGGCTACAATTTTGTGCTTCTTTTGTAAGTGCTGTCTTAATGCCTTTATATTATTAAAAGACACGTTACATCCTTCCAGACATTTGTGAGCAAATGTATTGTATTTAAAAGAAATGAGATCATAGTCTTGTTGATGTTTTTCTCTAAGGTGTGCATTTAAAGTTCTCTTATGACAGTACACTTTTTCACATATTGGGCAACTAACACGCATTTTAAGAATTATTCAGAGTTATTTATAAACACAAACAGGATCCACGATTTATCTATCAAAAAGAACATAACCTATAATTTATAACCTTGAGGTTGGTAACAGTGTCCGCATGGGTGGGAATTTATCTGCTCCTTTTTAAGCAGGGTAGCCCCCTATGCGGTCAGCTATTTTCCATCCTTCCTGAGGTTTTTTATTCAAAGATATAATTTGTGGTTGGTAGCAAAGGGTGTTCTTTGGTTGGTAGCTCTGAGTACTCATCACTATTGCAATGTTGCGAATCCTTTCACTGCTAGGGAAATATTCAGTGTTTCCAATCTGCGAGTAATTCCTTACATTTTTAAGGAATTTATGGTCTGTGAGGAGTTTTGTAAGTAAAGTAACTTAACTAAAAATAAGAGTTTTATAAGTCTTATTCTGAGTTTTTTTTTTATCTGGACTGCGGAACGTTGCAAGGTTTTGGTTGGTAAATACGGAACCAAAATTGGTTGCATTGATTAAACGCTGTTGGTGTATGTATCTTGGCTGTTGCTAGTACACCGCGCGCGGTGTACTATTCTACACCGCCAATTACGTCATAATTATAATCCGTTTTTGTTCCCCTAGCGTTTAATATTTGACAACAAGCTAGATGGCTCAGATGGTAGGGCGGGCGCTTGGCATGCGAGATCTCGCATGCCCGGGACCGGGACCTCGAGGTCCCGGGTTCGATTCTAAGAACTTTTTTATTTTTTTATTTCATAAATTTGTTGTTTCTTTGTTAAACATGGGGCGGGGTCGGTTGGGTTGTGTTGTTGAGTTTGGGTTGGTTTTGGTTTTTTTTCTCTTATTTTTGACCATTTGACAAATGGGGCGGGGTCGGTATACCGACCCTATAGGGTTGTGTTGTTGAGTTTTCTAACAAGGAAGCGTTAAAATTTTGCCTATGATTCATTTTAAAAACGTTAAAATGCACAAAACAAATCCCGTTAAGCCGGCAAAACGAAAAACCTCACTTTTTTAATAAATTAGCCAGAGAATTGGTTGGTTAGTTTACAAACTAGCTAAAGCTTGACTATTTTGTGTTACTAGAAATTTTGGTTTTCATATTAGCCAAACTGTAGTATACAAACTATCCAGCTATTTTAGTTTCCCTAATACTTTCAAGTAAATTAGCCAAGATCCTTGGTTATTTTGTAAACTAGCCGCTAATTTAGTTGAAAATATGTTTTCAATTAAAATAGCTGACAGTTTGGCTAGTTTATAAACTATCCAGCTAGTTTATAAACTTTCCAAGTTTGCACATTAGCCATAACATAGGTATATAATTACAATTTTTTTTAAAGTTAATTAGTTAAATAAACTATATATATTTATTTACCTTGAAATTTGCTGTATTAAATAACGCAGTCGGGTGCATAGTCTAGTTTAACCTATTATGGTCTCCGTCGATTTTTGAATTAAATGATCGTTTAGTCTGTTTTTACATAACAAACAGTTTCTTACGTCTCCGTTGCTTCTACGTTACGTCTACGTCCAACTATAAATCTGGCTTTACTGGACAAATAGTATGACCATGCGCATTGCGCATTAACTTTGCACCTGTCAGTTTTATTTTGATCCATCTTGACATAAGATATTGTTATAACATTTTTTTTTAAATTGATAATTTAATTAGTAACAATAGTGTTAAATTCTTTTTTATTGTTCCAGAAAAGTTTTGATTTTTATAGTACGTTAGTTAATTAACCTCATATAAAGGTAAGTAATATTTTACATGAAAATCTGTCAAGAATGTAAATAATATGATTTAATATTACTTAGATTAATGATTAAAATATACCAGTCGTATCAGTGTCCAGTTTCAGAGTATTAATTGTTTCAACTTATAACGAGTTACTTGGTTTTTCAAGCTTATTTAATATATAATATTATTCCTGTAGTTTGCTACTACCCATTAAGCCATTAACTTTTTCTTATTACTTACTACTTATTACTTAGGTTGCTTTGGTACATCTAGGTAGTATACCCATTAGGGTGTCTGTTATTTACCAACTTGTTTTTTTTTGTTCGCAGCGCCCCCTAAATTATTAGTTTATGACCTAAAAAAAATTATTAAAAAATATTCATATTAAACCATGCCATAAAGACGATACATTTTCCATTTAAATAACATGGGGTTTCGGCAAGTTTTACATTTATTTTTTTTTATCCTGAGCAAGTTAATATACAGCAATAAGTGATACATATTTTTATAGAAAATTGTTACAAAAAAGCTCTCATGATTTTTCGATAAATTCAATGGTTTAAAAGTTATTTAAGGTTAAAATTGAACTAAAAGTAATTTTTTTGATTTTTTACTTTGACTGCAAAATTATCATTATTTTTATGAAAATAAATTGTTAATTTTTGAAAATATGTGATTTTATTGTATTATTGAAAAAGTAAAAATTATTGAAAAGAGATACCTAAGTGAAAATTATTGACAAGAGATTCTGATAAATTAATTTCTGGTACTATATTTACTCAAATTTAGTATGATTACTTTTTTTACATAATCTTTTTATTTCTGTAAAATTTTTCAAAATTTTATACGATTTTAAAAAATATAGGTAAAATGAAAATGAAAATCTGTAGCTAATGACGTAGAAATTCTTTTAACAATTATTTTTACAAAAAACGAGTTATATTTGTTAAACATCTGTCAAATGTCAACGGAATTAACCTCATTTTCTCTAATATAATATAATAAATTAATTTCTGGTACAGTGGCGGACACAGAATTTTGAACGTTATAATTTGGATATCCATGTATAAATCTGTTAATAGCAAAGAAACAATATTGTCCGTTTTTGCTAGTTTTACTCAAATTTAGTATGATTACTTTTTTTACATAATCTTTTTATTTCTGTTGTCGGCTGAAAGACTACGGTCAATAGCCTTTGAACTTGGTTTTAGTTCAATAAAGCATTATTATTATTATTATAAAGTTATATACAGGGTGTCCCAGAACTCGCGCCACATAGAAAACCGGAACGTGCCGAAAGTAACGTGAAACACATATTTGAAAATTAAAATTGTCTAACGCAAAGGATAAGCGAGATAAGAATAAAAAACGATAGCCAATCCCAATAGATGGCCATAGGGAATTCTTTAAATTGCTAGGATACTTAGGTTGCATTGTTGATAATAAAAAATATGTAAAATATTTGGTCCACTGGAATCCAATTCATTGTGAAACTGCTGTCAAACTCCTGTCATTAATATTATATTAGGTTATAAATAATGTTTTCCTTAGATGATTATACTGAAATGATAATTATTTATTTATTTAGTGTGGGCGCAACGCCAGGGAGACAACGCGAGTTTTTTCCCAGCCCTTTCCTAATCGCTATTTTAAAACATTGGCGTTCTGAAGTATAAGTCATAGATTAATAACCTCATTTTTGAAAGCTTTTGACAACTTAGTAAATACAGTTGGCCAAAAGATTTTTAAATGTTTTTAATACAACAATGTTCTATCGTCTCCTAGCAATTTTTAAAGCTCTTACGTTTAACCTAGGCTAGAGCTCTCGGTATTGGCTGCCGCTTTTTTGCTCATTCGATTACACTATTACCTAGAAATTTTTTATTTTTAAATTTGGCATCTCCATTGCTATCGGCACGCCCCCTTTTTCTCTGTGGCGCGAGTTCTGGGACACCCTGTATAAGTTTTTTCCTGTAAATTTGAAAAGCCCTGTGGGTTGTACCAGCTATAACAACATATGTCTCTTATAATCAAACTATAGCCCCATCTTCTCTTAACATTTTGTTTTTTAATTCACCGCGTAGGTAATCTTTATTTTTAAAAGAAAAGTTACAGAATAGACAGTTAAATATTAAAGAACTCCAGTTTATTAAAAAAATGTAAAAATAACGATTGTAACAATAACAATAAAAATATGAACAAAATCAATAAAACCAACATTAAAGAATATAAATATCGCGTATTTCCGCCACTACTTCTAATTACGGCTTCACATCGACGCACTGTGGGCCCTATGCCCAAACTAGGTTGCAATAAGTCATTATTGAAAATGTATAATTTGCAACTATTGTTTTATTAAAAACATATTCAAACTTGTAAAAACATAATTGCTTTTTGAAAATACTCTCTACAAAGACTTTTTTATAAATGCGCAATGTTAGATCTTTAAAAGAAAGTCTATTTTAAATGCAATCGTTTTAATTAAAACGAGGGGTAAACCGCTGGGGAATTTTGGTGTACAAAGCTCAGGAATTGCGGGAATTGTCAGGGAATTGTCGGGGAATTGTAGGAATTTCCAGTGAATTGCGGGAATTTTTAAGGAATTGCCGGAATTTTCAAGGAATTGCGGGAATTTTCTGGGAATTGCGGGAATTGACAAGGAATTTAGAAGGAATTATGTGGGTATTGGGACACATTGTGCCATGGTTTTGAGCTTGCGCATTAAACAAATGCAAGATAGTTCCGTATTTCGGCCATGATGGCGTGTTTGGTTTACTTTACCGTTTAATTTAGTGTCAATACTACCATCTATACTATTTCTGATACAAAAATATGAAATTTAAGATAGGTAATTAGCTACTTAAGTATTTATTGTTAATTGTTTGGTACCAACCGCTATAAAATTATCCCCCAAGAGTGCATTAGTTAGCTTATGTAAGCTTTAAACAATAAAGGTAAACCACATTTAATGTAAAATTATTGTAAAATCTAGTTAATTTGATTTTCACAATGGAGCCCCGTACTACATGACATAACCTTAAAAAACTTGGAAACATTTTAGGTACCTAGGTATAGTTAAAGGAAGTGTATACACCTCCGTAAACTATTGCTATAAAACCACATATACTATAACCTATAATTCTGCAATAAGTTATTGCTAATGTCAGTCATTTACCGGTTATTGTGACTAAGTTACACAAGGACAAAAAGGTAACCCTTCTAGACTAGCCTGGAAACTCACCGGAAATTAATATGCAAGGCCAAATTGCTTAAAATGGATTGTATATTTTCAGGTATGGTTTCGAGATAACAAAATCAAGGAAAATTATAAAAAATTGATTAATTCTATGCCAAAACTAGTTGAAGCTTTAATAAGGCCCAAATTCACTATTAGATAATACTAAAATATTTATAAACTTGTACTGTTTATATATATTTTTTTTTTCAATAAATAATAGTTAACGTAAATCTATTTGCGTTCACATTAATTCGCACAATACTGTATATACAAGCATTTTTTAAGCTTTTTTATAATTATATTAAGTTAACCTACCTATTTTTTATATTAAATTATTAGAAGGCGCGGAATTGTGCTCAAGCCTTGTAATAATTTAATCCTCGAATTTAATATAAAAAGACTTAGAAAGTCTAGGTCTGTCTCGCATCAAAAATATGTTACCCTCTTAGGTTACAAAATTTAAAAATGAAAAAATTATTTTTAATTATATCAAAATAAATTCAAATAAGAAATAATTTATTTAAAGCCTTGGAATATTCTCGATATATGACAAAATTGTAGCACTCTATTTTAATAAATAGAAAAGTTATAGATTTTTGATGAGAGACAGACCTAGATGTTCTATAGTGAGGCGCCTTGATTTCATAATATTATTATAAATAATTTCCAAATTAAATCAAATTTATTTTAATATAAAACATGTGTAGTTCGAGCGCTCTTAGTGCCGATCCACAATAAAATTCTTAAAGAAACATAACTATTATATACAGTGTAGTCGAGTAAAGTACGGTGCGAAACAGTGCTACTATTCGGGTTACTACATACCTGTAAAGGTGAAATCAGGGTACCTGTTCTCCAAAGGGTTAATAGAAACATTAAATAATTCCTCAAAAGGCAATCTCTCAACGGTGAACATAGGGGTGAGGTTCGTGCGGACACGAAGTAATAAAGTGACAGGGGAAAGGTCAAGGAATCACCTATTTAAAAAAAAAACAAGTCTAACAAAGAGCGAAAGGGATCATCACCAGCAGATTCTGATAAGTATTATTGCATGACCTAATACGCAAATCTGTAATAAAAACCGGGCAACAATTAATCATTACCGAAAACCGTACGTGTGTAAAAAAAATCAAGTAAGAACGTCACAATATTATATTATTGTATTATATATATTATATAATATACGCATAAATTTACAGCCCAGCCACAAAGCAAAGCTTAAAAGATAACGAAAGTAAATAAACAAAACGCTCACGTAAAAATAACGTAAATAAACCATCTATTAAAGCATACGTTACACGCCTGACATTAAGGCCGTATTTCAAATTTTAATACGATACACCACAGGCCCGGCTTTATCTATTTTGTATATTAATTTATTTTTAAATTAAATTTGGAAAAAAAGTAAGAATGCAAAGATACAAAATAAATGATAATAAACGGTATAAACACCAATTTAACAACAAAATAAATAGTTCACCAACAAGGACAGGTTCTAGCAGCGTACTAATACCCCGGCTCAAAAATACAAGAACAGCACAGAAGATAAAAAGAACGACCCTATCAATAGTCAAGGCAGACCATATGGTGGCATTCCACTACATACACTACAGGGTCGGCTTTATCTATTTTGTATATTATTATTTATATTTTTAAATTAAATTTGGAAAAAAAAGTAAGAATGCAAAGATATAAATTAAATGAAAACGGTATAAACACTAATTTAGCAATAAAATAAATAAAGAATATACGAGGTTGGTAGCCAGAGTAAGCAAA